GTAAAGAAAGGAAAACCTAGCTGTCTCTCAAGCAGCTAAATGGTGCCCAACCAAGGGAGAAATAATGAAAAAGTATGGCCCAAGGATGGCTCCTGTGTAGATCAAAGGGGGAGAAAAATTGTGGGTCCCATCAGTAAGCAAGGAAATAAAATGCAGAATATACTTTCTGCAACAAATAGCAAAAAGAGCCTTGAATCAAATAGGAAAAGTCTGAAATCTACCCAAAAAATACTTTCTCTCCTCCTAAATACTCCATCTTTTTGTACTTGGAATTTTCTCATAAATTTAAATGGTTATAAAAATAGGAGGCTAACCAGGCATGGTGGTATATGCCTCTAATCACAGGTACATAAGGCTGAGACAGCAGGACCCAGAGTTCAAAGCCAACTCTGGCAATTTAATGAGACCCTATGTCATACACCTGCATGCATATATACATAAAGGGCTAGGGATGTATGTAGCTCAGTGCTCCCTGGATTCAATCCTGAGTACTGCTTGAAAAGAAAAGAATAGAGGCTAAGTTGGAAATAAAAACCCTCCATTGTTAAACAACTGCATCCTCCTCCAATTGGTTTTACAAAGTAAATAGAATATTTTCCTCAGAAAAGTTCTCTCACAGTCACAAATTAAGTACTTGAAAAGGAGTATTTTTAAAGGGATCATATGCCCATTCATTCAGTACAGGGGAGTAAACTGGAAATGGAAATCTTTGCCTATTACCAGTTGCTTCATATTCTTTAAAACTCTAGAAGAAAAAAAGATGGAAAATTATTGTCCCATGGCAACATTTTTATAAAGAAAATTGTACCATAACAGCCATACTCAGTTGTTTATGCATCATGAGAGATTTCAATCAAAAACAGAGCTAAGTAGTTTCTACAGAGACCCGGTGACCCTCACAGCTTAAAATATTTACTGTCTCTCTATTTCGAAGTCTGCATTCCCTGCTCTAGAGGAATTTATCATTCAGGTATGATAAGTAAGCTGAAAATCTGTAGATTTAATAATGGCTTTAAAATCAGGAGTGAAAGCACAGTGTTGCCCACCCACACATACACACACATAATGGGGATTGAACCCAGGGCATTCCCGCTGAGCTCCATCCCAAGACTATTTTTTATTTTAAGTCAGGGTCTTGCTGAGTTGTTAGTTGGCCAAGCTGGGCTTGAACTTTCAATCCTCCTGCCTCAGCTTCCCAGAGTTCTGAGACTACAGGTGCATACCACAACCCTGCCTCTTGCTCTTTTAAAACAATGTATTTTAAGAGATCATACCATATCAGTACATAGGACTCTTTTTCTAAGATTGAATGGTAATCAACTATATTTATAAATGAAATTAATTCCTAATCTTCTGCTGTTACCAACAATAAATGTAATAAATATTCTGTGTACTATATATAAAATTCTAAATATTTTTTAATCAACTCGATCATAAAATTTATTTTTGCTCTTATTTTTGTTTTTGAGACAGAATCTCACTATGTAGCTTAAGCTGGCCTCAAACTTAACTGGCTCAGCATCTCCAGTTCTGGGATTACAGATATGCACCACCATACTCAGCTGATCATAAATTTTATGATTTCTACCTGCTGTTATTTTTGTTGTTGTTTTTGAGAGAGGGTCTCCTTATGTTGCCCAGGCTGGCCTTGCCCTGCCTCAGCCTCCCAAGCAGCTGGAATTACTGCAAGTTATGTGCCACTGCACGCAGCTTCAATCTGACATTATAAATATTAGTGTAATAAACTTTTGTGGCTACATATTTTTCCTAGAGAACTAGTCTCAGAAGAGGAATTACCTATGCTCTAAATATATAGACAAAATTTTCAAAGGTAACTAATCTAAAGCTTCTAGTAATACATAAATAAGAATTTCACTATACTTTCCCTAGAACTGGTTTTAGATTTGTATATATGCATGTATGAAATTGTTATTGTTGTTTTATCTTCTGGCTAAAAATGATACCTTATTTGATTTGCATTTCTTTAGTTACCAGAACCACACTTTTCTACACATTTTTAATGGTACTTAGAAATAGAGTTAAAATGCTAACTCCCCAGAGAAAGCATCTATTTAGCAGAAATCACTCATTACAAGGAATCTCTGATTGACCAAATCTACAGAACACTGTTTTGAAAGAGCTATTTCTGGATCCATATCTTATTACACAAAAAAAACTTCTATATAAAAAAAGACTTTGCTTACATAAGAGTGAATGCTATAGTAAAATCAAATAGTCAACTATAACTGATTTTTAATTACTTTTAAATGGTTTCATGACATCAAATACTGTGGTACCTAGGTTCATAAACTTTATTTGTCCTATGGTTTTAGAAAAGATGGCCATATCCGTGTTTGTGCAGTAAAGATAGCCACAGTAGTGTTTGTCACCCGATGTAGAATTTGCAAACAAAAACAAAATTTTGCCAAATGTTTTTGTTTGCAAACGAAATTGTCGCAACCAAAAGTGTTCCTGAACCAAGGAACTACTGTATATAAAACACAGACACCCTTTTACAGAATGCTCCTGTATATACTTTGCATTAACCTTTAATTTCCCTTCAACTACTCTGTAGCTCACACAGATTTTCACCTACTCCACAAATAAAAGGCCAAGACAATTTAAGGTGGAGAGTGTCATGACAGAAAAGTTGAAATACTCCTTTAAAAAAGGAGGGAGGGGGAGGATAAAGTGCTTCAGAGGACAGCAACAATGGCAAAAGAAGAAAGACAGTAGGGCAAATTCATATGCTTTTTTTTTTTTTTTTTGGTACCAGGGATCGAACTCGGGTCCTTGCGCTTGCAAGGCAGGCAGCGGAACCACTGAGCTAAATCCCCAGCTTTTTCTTTTTTTCATAAGCTTTTAACAGGTAACATTATGTCATCTATAATCCCATCATGCTGGGAGGCTGAGGAAGGAGGACTACAAGTTTGAGCCCAACCCGGGGAACTCAGGCACTTAAGACCCTGTCTCAAAATAAAAAAGGCTGGGAATGTAGATCAGCACATATAAACAATGTCATATAAACAATGAGTTTATATGACAATGTGTGATGACATTTCTGGTGGTCACACTGTGGAGTGCGACTGGCATCTAAAGGAGAGTGGCCAGAAATGTTGTTAATTATCCTAACATCCAAAGGAAAAGTCCTCCAGAGCAAAGAATTATCTGGCTGAACACGTCCACAGTGCCACATCTGAGGAACCCTAGCTTAGAGATACTTGCTGTTCTCTCTGCCCAAGACTTTTGTTACAAACTCATTTGTGCACTCTTAAAATAGTCCCTGTTGTAGCCCTCTCTGCCAATGTGTATGTATTCAGAGAGAGAAAGGTAATAAAATAAGTGTAGGGCCCTAGTAAGATAGGACTGGTGTTCATATGAAAAGAAGAGGCATCAGAAATGTTTCTGCACACACAGAGGCCATGTGAGGACATGTCAAGAAGGCACTCATCTATGAATAAACATGATAAGCCTCAAGAAAAAACAAAATTGCCCGCTGGCATCTTAATCTTAGACTTTTAGTCTTTAGAACTATGGGAAAATTTTCAAGTTACCTAGTCTATGGCATTTTGTTATGGGAGCCTAAGCAAAGTAAGATGACTCTTTCCCTCAGATTTTACTTCTCTCACTTTCACTTAACATTTAGGTTTTACTGAAAATTCTGATCATTTGTAAGAGAAAATAACCTGGGCCGGGGATTTAGCTCAGTGGTGCGGCGCTTGCCTGGCAAGCACAAGATCCTGAGTTTTATTCCCAGTACCAAAAAAAAGAAACTAACCCAACCCATCCAGTGGAAAAATTTAAAGTTCTGATACACTGTTAGTAGGAATGTTAATGTCAGTTAGTATATCCATTTTGCAAAATAGTATGGATGTTCCTCAAAACTTAGTAACATTACCACATTGTTATGGCTTGTATCTACATATCCCTCCCAAAGCCTCATGAGATCATAGGTGGAGCTTTTTGGAGGTGGCTGGATCTAGAGTGTGTCATGCTGGATTTAAGGATGTGACAATGGGATTGACTCACAGTGCCATGCTAGGATTGAGGGTGCCCCACCCTGGGTGTGGGTACTGCCTGCTCTAAAGGCAGGTAGCCTGGATAGAATATGGGGAACAGAAAGAGGGGCTGCTGTTGTAGCTTGATGCTGGCTACTTCACTACTTTGTTGCCTTCTGCCTACTCAAATTGTTCTTCCTCTGCAATGCCCTTCTAGCATGCCACCCCACTTTGGAGCCAACTGATTATGGACTGAAACTTCTACAAACTGTAAGCTATAATAAACCTTTCCTCTGCTAACTTTGGGTGTGGGGTATTTTGTTTCAGCAATGAGAAAAAAATAACTAAGACACACATGATCCAACAATCCCACTACTGAGTACATATCCTAAGGATATGAAATCAGTGTGTAAAAAAGATATCAGCATTCTCATTTACTAGCACTGTTTTCAATAGCCAAGACATGGAATCAAAAGTGTACTATGCCACAAAAAGGTGATACAGTGAACAATACTGGATTACATATAATTCAACAGCTAAAATACAGGATTTTCAAAGTTCTCATAACTAAGAAATGATCAGTGTTTGACATGATAACCTAAATATCTTGAACTGATCATTATACAATGTATAAATGCACTCAAACTCCAAACTTTATCCCTTTAAAGATGTATGATTATAAAAAAAAAAGATGTATGATTATGCCCACTTTTAAATATTTTCACATAAAGTAACAAAGATGAAATTTAAATACTTAACATCCTGCAATTTCTTCATAGTGCTTTTCACTATACAACATTATCAATTTTGGGGGACCAACTGTGAGCTTCAAGGAAAGTGAACACTACGATTTGAAGTCTTTTTTTTTTTCCTATTTTATAGATGAGGAAAATTAGGTAGAAAACATTCAAGTACCTAGATAAAGATACACAAACATAAACCCACATTAACCATACAGTAATTATAAACTGGTTTATGTTAAAGTAAACTAAAAGTACTTACTTTCTCTCTCTTTCTTCTTTAAACGCTTTCTCCTCCTATCAATGGAAGCTACTTCAGATTTTAATGACAGATAATGTTTTCTGATTTCTTGCAGTTTTTCTTGAAGAATTGTGATGCGCTCAGCACTTGTCATATTTTCCAGGTCCGCTGTCAATTTAAATTTTTAATACATTTTTAATACAAAAAAGAGAAAACAATGTGGTTGGAGAATAAGGTTGAAAAAATAAACAAAAAAAGGTGGGCCGGGGATTTAGCTTAGTGGTTCTACTGCCTGCCTCAAAAGCTCAAGGACCCGAGTTTGATCCTGGGAACCGCCCCCCCCCCCAAAAGCACTAAGTATTTGTTTTCTAAGGTTATTTTCCTTACCTAAAATATCACATAAATAATAAATGCATAATATTTGAGTGTGTGCAGAATCAAAGACCTTATTACCTAAATATATACATGCTACCATTTCTAGTCATATATATATACATATATATATATATTCATCAGTGTATCATTTTAAAAATTCATATTTCCACTGGAAGACACCAAAACATTAAAATTGTGTGTGTGTGTGTATGTATATATAATGTATATATGTATAAGGTAGGTTTTGATTTTGTCACAGGATCTTGCTATGTAGTTCAGGCTGCCTTTGAACTCATTAAAGGCCTAGCCTAGCCTTAACCTTACCAGCCTCCTGCCTCAACCTCTCAAGTGTTGGGATTACTGGAAGGTACCATGCTATTTGGCTTTAATATTGTATATATTCCAGGGCCGGGGATTTAGCTCAACGGTATAGTGCCTGTCTGGCAAGCATAAGGTCCTTAGTTCGATCCCCAATACAATCAATCAATCAATCAATGGCCGGGGATTTAGCTCAGTGGCACTGCGGCTGCCTTGCAAGCACAAGGTCCTGAGTTTGATCCCCGGTACCAGAAAAAAAAAAAAAATGTATATATTCTTGAGTGACAAGAACTGTGGGTAAATGTTTCTCTTCTGTCCTCATTCTGTTAAAGATTTTTTTATGAATGTGTATAACTTTTAAATTGATGGTATTTTTAAAACCTCTGAAACTTGTAGTCAATGTTCTCATAATACTTGAGGTATCTGACCATCTGATAAACTCTAAAAAATTTGCCAGGCATAGTAATTACAGCACTAAAGTGGCAGAGATGGGAGAAATACAAGTTCAAAGGACTACATTGTGAGGCTCTGCTCTGCCCTTTCCTCCCACAATTATAACAATTTCTCACTTACGTAAAGAAATTGAGAAGTATAATGACACCCATGTACCCAGCTTGAGTAATTATCATTCTATGCCAAATCTTGTCTCATTTGTACCCCAATCTACTCTCCATTGCTAATACTATGGTTGTTCCCTTTTTGTTTGTTTTTTCGGTAGTGCTGTGGATTGAATCCAGGGCTTTGTGCCTGCTACCAAGTGCTCTATCACTGAGCCATATCCCCAGTAAAACACTATATTATTCTAAAGCAAATATCCAATATCGTATCAAAAATATCTAGTGATGGGGCTGGGGATATAAATGGTAGGTCACTTGCTCAACACATTCAAGACTCTGTGTTTCATCCCCAGTAACACCAAGAAAAAGTCAGTGATAAGATAGGCCTCAATTACCTTAAAACTTTCCTGTTAACAATTTGTATAATGGAGTACTACTCAGCCATAAAGAATGAGAAACTAAATGGATGCATACAGAGGCCATACTCTTAAGTGAAATAAATAGGACACGTATGTGTAAATACTGAATAGTTTCTCTATTGTGAGAAACTGAAAGTGTAAATAAGGATTAAAATGATTAAAATGAATAACTGATAATTTGAAATAGGAAGAAAAGGTCCAAAGGGGTAGGGGAAGTGGGAGGGGAAGGGGAAAGGAAAGAACAGAAAGGAAAAATTATGAGAAAAGGAAAAAATGGAAACAAAGTCTTTGTAAATAGGGAAGGGTGGAGGGGGTGAAGGGAGGATAAGGGATGGGGAAAAAATAAGAACCAAGATACATCATGTACAGGTACAAGCACCCAATGATAAATGTAAAAGTACTGTGTATCTAAAATGTACCAATAAAAGAATTTAAGCAAAACAAACAAACAAACAAAAAAACAATATGTGTATTCAGATCAAGATCCAAACAAGGTCTATACTTAGTAACTGGTAAATATGTCTCTTAGAATTGGTGTAAGTGACTTTTTAAAGTAAAGGCATCAAAACTAACTAGAATGAAGTTTCTACTGGTTAACTGTCAATCTATGACACTTACACATTTGAAAACTCCATTTGTAAACTTTGGGTAATCGATTACTGGGCTCCTTGAGATCAAGATCCTTATCCCCATTCTTTCCACATTTTCCTGGAGACTGCATCCTTGCAGGAGATTTGGTACTATGGGACTTCAGTCCAGCGGACTGGACTGATTTGACTGGGTGAGTCTTAGTTAAACTTTCACCAGCTGAAAGTTCTTCACTATCACTACTGTTTGCTGAAGGAAAAAAGAAAAGCATTAATAAAAAGGTAACACTGAATTTGTTACAGATTTTAATAGACAATTTAAAGTTAGGCATTTCAATTTACCACTCTGCCTACACATCCAAGAAAATCATATACAAATGCAGAAGTATCTTAGGGAAAAACAATCTCTTCTTACCTGAACTGCCAATAATGTATTTTTCCAGTAATATTTTTGTTAAAAATTACCCTAATCTTCCATTACACTAGACTGTCACATATATAGTCATCAGCTGGATTTTTATTCTATTATGTTTATTAGTAACACAGAATATAGCATCTTTTAAACTGACTCAATGTAAAAGTTTGTTTTAATACTTTAGGCTCTATGCATATAATGCTTCCCAATTCTTCTGGCCACAAACTAATAATGATGTATAGTCACTATATTCAATAAACAATTCCTTGGGTAAAAATTAAATTTCTTCCTGCTGTAGTTTGAGGAATAAAACAGAACACTGGTCTCACCCTTGTAGATTTTATATTCAATAGTGTATGAAGAATTTAGAATTCTGTATAGTAATTGTTACACCTGACTTTGCTAATTAAGCTTCAATATTAAGATAGAGATAACCTTAAGAGCTTGCCATGAGACTAGGTGACAGGATTAGTACTGATACAAGTGACCTCTTTCTGGATATAAAGTATTATTTTAAATTCCAAAAGAATTAGTTCACTATAATGAATTATTCTGGTTAACTCATTCTGATTTACCATGGCAGACGTCCAATAATTAACATGGGCAAATACAATCAAAGGCTTTATCTCTATACAGATGTTATTTACTATGAAAATGAGCCCTTTTAGAAAATCATTTAAATGGTAAAATCTTGAAGACAAAACCACCAGAGTGGTAAGAAAAAATCTTCAATAGCCTAGCAGTTATACAAAATAACTGATGACCACTCTGGCATATATTTACTGATTCTTCAATTAAAAGTAGCCACCAAAAAACAAAAGAAAAACCACTAAAACCAAAACAGGCTCTCAAAGCCTGAGAAGTATTCCAAATAGTAAAAGGACATAGCCAACTCTTCCCACTGTGACATCTTGGGAACAAAGAAGCTCTTTTACACATATCTTACAAGAATTCCCTCCCCCAACACTCCCATTGCTGCTCTGGAACCCCTGGCAATTCCTAGCTAAGCCACCCATGGCTCAGCCCCACTTTATCACTGGCCTGCCTCAGCCTCTGGGCCCCAAGGGATGCCATATTCACCGCCTGGAAGTCATATGGGCTCAGCAGAACCTCAGGGAGCTGGCCGAATAACCCTTTTCTGCACTGAAGTGCAGCCAAGCCGGCTGCTAGCAAAGGTCAGGCAGTGGAGGTGGCAGGAGTCTCCTGGAAGAGCAGCAGGAGGTCAGTGTGGGGCACCTGAAAAAAAATTCTTTACATATTTTCTGCTTCTTAGTTGTCTACAAAAAGAAGAGATCAAATGTGCAGTCCTCAGTATTACATTCTCTGCAGGTGGATGAACAGTAACTGCTAAAGTCCTTAGTTGGAGCACACTAGCCAGAAGTTTGTAGCCTGTCTTGGGTCACATGGTTGGGGTACCAAAGATAAATGTCACAGACTGGAATTGTTGGAATTATTCCTCTAAGGCTGTCTTAACTGTGTAACTCCATGCTGATTTTGCCTTGAAGAATTACTAACAATCAATTTCATCGTGATAAAAATAAGTATTTAAAAAAAAAATAAGTATTTGACAATATGTGACACAAAAACAGGCAGAAAGCACTTTATACTATAAACATCATGTCTACGTTATGCTGGTTATTATTCTGAAAAAGATTACCTGAATGTTCACCAGCAATCAATACCAAAGCTGAATAACACCAACTTGCTTATTCCTAAAATTTTTTTAGGATCAGAAAAATTCTGTGATTTTTTATCAAGAATAGAGATCAAATCAAATGTTAGACTACCCCATATCACGAGTACTCTTCTTAATAGCAAAAAATATACAATAATTTTCTTATTTTAAAAATTAAGAGAGATTACACACTTACTGCCTTTTCCCTTCTTTTTATTGTTTACCACTGTTGCTTTATGGCTTCTTTTCTGCTTTTTTGATGAGCTTCCTCCTCCCTGAGCATCTTTCATTCTTTTCTGACCTGTAGAGGCTACAATGAAAAAGAAATTAAGTAACACAAAATAAAACCAAATATTCCCTAGGTATTATTTCCTTATTTTAGAAAAAAAAATTAAAACTAGATGTTCTTTATGAGATTTATAAATTATCACAAAAATTGCTGTAAATTTTTAATATATTATCACTGATGAAGCTGAATTCTTGCACATAATAAAAGTTAGGTTTTACTAAAGTATGCAGCAACCTTCCTAGAAAATTCAAATATAAAATGAAAATAGTTTTCAATATAGTACTGGGAATTTATAAGTGTAATAATTAAAAAACAGTATATACTTACAATAAAAATAAAAATTGAAATGTGTTAGAATTCAGTAAAACCAAATTAAGATTTAGTTACAAGATGAAATGTTAATGAATGTAATTTTCAAATAATAATATTAATGAGATAAATTTTAGCAATAATTCACTTGTTTTTATAAAGTTATTTCAAGAATAACTTGGCTGCCAGGACATTGGTTGGTTAACA